TTGCCCGTTTCTGTTTGACTTGTTGGTGGCGTTCTTTTCTTGGCCACCACCCCCGTTCCCTCTTAACCCTAACAACACCCCCTTAACCCTTAGCCGGCCCCCTGGGGGGATGGCTGCTGTTAATTGGCTGCCACAATTTGACTTTTTGTCGCCTATCGGGCAAACAGAATCAGTTCCAGGGGGCAGGTCCGTGGGCGACATCATCATTTCCCCGAAAACCAAACCCAAACCCCCCCTTTTACTGCCATTTCTTCTTGGCCACGTTTTCTTCCGCCTTCTCCTGTGTGCGTGACTATCGAGCTGTGCGGCAGTTTTGCATGGGAAATTGAAAATTTTCACTTGCTGTTTGTGTAGTCGAAAGCGACGTTTCCCCCGCTCACTAAAAAAAGAAGAAAGATCGAGTTGAAGTTTGCCTAAAAAAGGAAAATTAGAAAGTTCCAGACAAGGGTGCTGCTACTGCCCCTCATCTACTCTGCTGTCACTCATACGCCATGTGGGCCGCCTACGCGGGCAAACAAATTTCTAATGCGATTTCCTTTGCCTTTACCGCTGCGGTAGCTGCATTTTAGTGCAATTTTAACAAATTTTACGAGCGAGTCTCTGGTGCCACAGGGGCTTTGCCTTTATGATTTGATTTTTCGCTTTGTGCTCGCCGCCGCCCCAGCTGCAATTCCCATTCCTCTCTCTACATATATATATTTCTATATATATATATATATATATATTTAAATGTACGTGTGGAAATGTACTTGTGTATATGCGGTTGGGGATTGGATGGGGGCATGGGCATTATAAACTTATCATAAAATAAAGTTAGCAGCTATTCAAACCGCAAATTTTTGCAACGACGCGTTATTAAATCACCAGGTGTGGGAATATGTGTGTAGTGCACACACGACTGCAAAACTTAACAAAAGCAAAAATATTAAAAAAGGAGAAAGGATAAAAGGAGGAAGAAGAAGAAGGAGCGGGCACACACACACACACACGCTCGCACTCACACACATGTGGCCAAAATGCAGGCAGCTGCACAAAATGGCTGCGACGAAACGGAAAATGGGAACAAGCAGAACGAAAAGTCAATTTGCTGCGGGGATGAGGAAGAAAGGGAAAGGAACGGGGAATACCCATTGAAAGGAGGTCCTGGCAAAAATTACTAAATTCCATAATCATATGTATATGTATATAGTAATCGTATGTAGATCTCTATATTGAAGAATGCCATAACATCTGTTTGTTTCTATCAATACTGATTTATTAATATACCTACTTTTCATTAGGTTTTCTATGGCTTTTTTGACGAGATTTATATTTCATTAATAAACTTGTTAACTCAATTAAATTTTTAAAATTTAAATTTTTTATAAATAGAAATAACTTTTGAAATATTTCTTTTAATAATAATTTTGCACACTTTAATGAATATTAGCTCAAATTTTTGCCATGCATCCTCCGGAGTTCTTTGAAAAGAAATTAATATAGTCTAGTTGGGAAGCTGAAAAGATCGGCGGGGATATGTGCTCCATTGTTCAGGGTATACAAAGGTATAAAAGGTATAAAACGTATGAAAGGTAGGGGGATATATATTCAAGGGGGACGAGGGGAGGGGGGTTGGTAAGCAGCGTTGTCAAGCCAAAAAGCAGCAGCGTTGACATTTTCTCAACTTAATTAATTTTGCTGCTACCCCGGCTAATACGCACGCACACTCGTGCCAGCCATTCATATATATGTGTGTGTGTGTGAGCACATGTATATAATTTATAAATATATATGTATGTAGGTATGTGCGTATGTATGGCTCCCTTTGACTGGCACTTTGTTTAGTTTTGGTTCGCATTTTGGCGCTTGATTAAATTTTGAGCGCGTTTCTGGGCGAAATACTCGATGGGTGGTGAGGGGGTGGTTATAAATATTTCCGATTTCAATTTTCAGTTTCAATTAAATTGGAAATTGCGGCGATAAATTAAATCAGCTTGAGACTGTCAAAGGATTTCAATTACGCAACGAAAATGAGTTGATGATCGGAATGGAGAATGTGGAGTTCCAGAGTTTCCGAGTTTCCGAGTTTCGGCTGCATGATTTATGGCCTGGATTTGTAGCGGCGACCTCCTCCTTGGCATTGACTTCATAAGGACTTTATTAGTAAATAAAATGCCGTAAAATATAAACAGGAAAGGGGGTGAGGCTGAGCCGTAGGCCATTGCCCATTGTCCTCGGATCCTTGGTCCTTTATCCTTGCTCCTTCGGCCTTTCTCCGGCACTCAAGTGCTCGTATTTCTCGGCTTTTGTGCACTTGGCCTTCTCCCTCCACCCCCTTTTGGCATTATGCAAATCGCAATGGAGCACAAAAGAGTCAGCGGCCCAGCATCTGGAATGTCGATGCACAAGAGCAACAACAGCAACAGCAGCAACAGCAACAACAGCGACAGCAACACCAACGGCACGGCAGCAACATCGAGAGCATCGGCAGCTATGGCAACGACTTAAGTGGATTACAGCGGCAACTTGTTGGCTGGGTAAAAGGATCCGGAGATCCCGGGTTCAGTGTTCAATAAACACACACCAGCCCAGAAAACCACCACAGGATAACCAGGATAACCGGCAGGAGGGAGGAACTCGGGCAGGGCACTCGGGGAAATAACTTTTTAACGTTTGGCAAATAGATCAAAAAATCAGAAAGCATTTAAAAAGTCATTATTTAATCTTCAGCTATTTTAATTATTATATTATTTATTATTTCTGAATTTATGATATTATTTTAGATTTTTATGTTTATCCCTTCTGGATTATTTTCGCCACTTCTGTTTTTTTGTTGTCAAGAATTTTATAGAGTAAGGTAGATTGGGAAGTTCGAATAATTTGGAATATAATATTTAATATTAATAATTCTAATAAAAAATAATAACACAAAATATTTGTTTAAGATAAGATTTTTCTTAGTTTTAGATAGTTTTTCCTCAGTGTCCCCTTTTTTGAGTGCATAGCCTCGAGGAGCTCCTCCATCGGAGGACAACTGCAGCTCCATTTCCAGCTCATCTGCCCCAGCTCAGTGGGCTCTTTAGGGCTTATGGATTTTCCATTTAGCACAGGGCCAGGCGTCTCTACGAATCACCGGATTTGGCCGCTTCTCTGCAGCCAAACCCACTCTATAGCCACCCTTGATCGGCGCATACGCGGCGTATACGCAATGTGGGAGGGGCAGTGTAGATTTTTCAGAGACAGCAATTAGCCGGGAAAAGAATGCTGAAGATGGGCGCTCCTAGAGAGCTGGTCACATAATTTAAAACTCTCGCCCAACTGCAATTTAAACTTTGTTTGCTGCTGCTGCTGCTGCTGCCTTCGTTTACAACGCGTCGCCAGCTCAGAAATTGTTTTCAATCCTCGTCCTTTTCGTCCCTTTTTGCCTTCCACTTTGCAACCTTATTTTTTATTTCTTTTTTTCTAGCTGCGTGTCTGTACTTTTAGCAGTTATGCAGTTGCCTAGCAAATAATAACTTCCGCCTTGGCTGCTTTGACTAAGAAATGAAATGATTACAAAACAAGACCAGAGAAGGGAGTCGTCCAGTTACTGTGCATTTTATTGCTTAAAGGGGAATTTACATGACTGAAGATGAAGTAGAAGCTGGAGTAGAAGCTGAAGCCGAAGATGAGGCAAACTTTATTACAAGGAAAACTTTTTGCCACCACCGCCGCCGGCTTATAGTTATCCTTATGTACTGCTAATAAGTACAACAAATATCAGGGCAGGCCAACAACCAGGCGGCAGCGACATAAATAAATAACATTCATTTCCGCCCAGTGCTAGTACCAGTACCATTTTAGCCCCTCGGGCCACTCGAGGGTTAAGCGAGCGAGCGAGCAACAAGGCTGCAACGCCCCCTTGATAGTTTTCCCAACCGAATCGCAAGCCCACTCATTGCCAGTCGATGGAGCGCGAGCGACTGGAGAGTCCTCCAAAAGTTTCCTCAAGTTGATCGAAAAATAAAGCGCGGATAGTTTGTGGGGGATATAGCGAAATAATGGTTGATGGGAGGCGGATGCTGCTGGCCTTCCAAAACTTTCAACCCTCCGATTCATTATGTTGTGCGACAACTCTTTGGGGCCAGCAATCAGCCATTGATTGTCTGCGAAAAGTCATCCAAAGTGGGTCTAACCATATTTATTGCATCCAAAAGTGCTTTCAAGTGGACCCAAAGTCATTGGTTTGATTTATTGACGAATTTTAGAGTGGTTTTAAATTATATTAATTAAGGAACTGCTCGAAAGTGTCGTTTTAATCGAAATTAGGGGTTAAAAGCGCTATAAAAGTGTATTTTAGCTTCAAATTTTAGTTCATATTTTTCGTTCTTAAATATTCAGTATTTTGTCTGAAATATTGCCAAAATGGTCAGAATGAGGAGTGTGATATTAACTGATTATTAAGCTCGTTATTTAATTCGCAATCGATTGGCACTTAAGCCTGGACATTTTATTTTTTGTCATTTTTCGTAAAAAGTCATGGGGTACGGGTTTTTTCGCTAAAACAAAGCAGTTTTTTCGCTTAAACAAAGCAAATACTGATTCAAAGTATGGATTGTCATACCTTTCTGGACTCGTTATTAAATTTCCTAACGATTGGCATTTAAACCTTGACATTTTATTAATTTTTAATTTTTCGCAAAAAATCATGGGGTACCCCTTATAAAAAAATTAAAAATTGGCGAAAATTTTATTTTTCCAAAATCACACGGAAAGTGTTCTGGATTTATAGATAATTTTGTTATCTGTTCAAAACATTATGTATTTTTGGTGTAGAACTATTTTTGGCTAAGTTACAGCAAAAAAACAAACAGAAACAAATTCAAATTTTTAGCAAAAATCCAGATCCCATTTTTCGCAAAAAATCATAATGTAGCTCCTTATCAAATAAAGATCCAAATATCGAGTGCCATACCTCGTTGATCTCGTAATAAAATTCCCACTCGATTGCCATTTCAGCCATGAAATTTTTAACCTTCCAATTAAATAACGGGGTTAACTTTTATATTTTTAAAATGTTCATTATTTTTTAATATTTAAAATGCACTTGTGTGCTGGACCAGTGCCACTGAATCATTACAAGCCCGCCTTCTCCACGATCCAGGACCTCAGTGTGGATATCTTTTGGTAGCCATCCGGACCGGCTCGTCCACAGCCACCGGTGAGCAGGAGACTGGCCAGGCCCACCACTTTGCCGTTGTAGGTGGCCGGTCCGCCGGAGTCCCCGAAACAGGCGCCCTTGTTGCTGGGATGCACGAGGCAGATCATGGTCTCGGGCAAACGGCGATACCACCAGCGACATCTCTCCCGCGACAAATGGGTCGTCTTCACGTACAACAGGCTGTCGGAGAGGGCTCCCTTTTCGGATACTTTTCCCCAACCGGAAATGTCCACGGAGCAACCGACAGCCGGATCCTCGGTGGCCAGTGGGATGGCAGCGATGTTGGAATCGAATGTCAGCGAGTTCTGCAGTCGAAGCAAGGCCAGATCGAAAGAGCCGTCGGTCTTGTACTCGGGATGTACGATAACTTCGGCCACAGGGATCCTAACTCCGCCACTCGAGAGGAGCAGACTTCCCGCCTGAATCGACCACAGATCAGCAGGAGGTCTAAGGAAGAATGTCATTAAAAAAAAAGAAAAGGAAAGAGCTATTCTGATGGCATAAAAGCGCCACCTAGTGGCTATTTCAATATTTGAACCTAGCTTTTTACTGAATAATCCGATTTGAAAAATGTAAAGCACAACTTACACGGTAAAAAAAACTTAGAAAATGATCCCGCCATACTCACACATCATTTCCATGCTTAACACAATGAGCCGCGGTGATGACGTAGTTGTTGGAAATTATGACGCCACCGCAATAATGTTCATCGCGAAGACGCAGGGAAATCTGATGGGGAAATTGTCCCTCCTTCGCCTTGGTTCCGCCCACAATCCGGGGTTCTATTTCGGTTTCATTTCTATTCTTGGTCTGAACCTGTCCCAGGACTACTAGTGCACCACAAAACAGTGGCAAAAAAGTCCAGTAACTTAGCATGACTGAGTGGCTTAACTTTCCAAAGAGTTGTACTCGGTCTTCGCTTTTCCGGCTGTATATAAGTGCCAAAAGTAAAGGGCTCATCATCATTAGTTTCTTAAAATGTCAAAGTCAAAATTGCTATCTCTCTACCATTTTTTTCTTGCAAATGAAGCCAACCTAATTACGAGTGGATTTAGTCTTGAAAGTGCCGAGGTTCCATAAAATACGAATTACACAAAAGCCAACTTGAGCCCTTTATGTACACATTACACATTATCCAATTAAATTCGCCTACGGATTGAAAGTGAATAAGATTCAGTGATTAGATGAGCAAACAAAGCTTTAACCCTTAACCCTGTAACTCGAATCTGATATCGTTCAGTTGGTGAATGACTCGTCCAAATTTGACCCCCGAAAGTTACTCATGTGTGTGTAGTGTTGCCTTTCAGCAGTTTTCAATGGAGACGATGGAAGCTCGGGGAACCACCCCTTTAAGCCATTAGATTAACTCAATCGCAGTGACCAAAGACCGCCCACTGCGCCACCAAAGGAACGGCCACCCACCGCTGAGTGTCATGCATTTTTCATGGCCCGCCACGAGCTCAGCTGCTCAACTAAATTAACAAAATCAATCATCATCATCATGCCCGTGTGGCACCTGACATACAGAGAAAAATGGAACAAATTATTTGGATTTTTACTCTTATTAATTTCATGACAAACACGAGAAGCGGGTATTCCAAATAGTCACTAGTCACTCATACTATTAGATTGTCATGGCTATCATTCTTCATCAAACGGTAAACAAAATATTTAACATGATATTCTTAGAGTTTCTGGAGTTTTTTTATTATTGAATTTTATTTGTGGTTTATAAAGAAAGAGAGGATAAAAGTAAATATTATACATTATTAAAATACCCTCTCAAGGCTTTTGGCCTTAATAATCCTCCGTTTGCTGACCCATTTCACTGTTTATTTTTCGCAGTGCATTTTTGTTCAGCCAAGCGCCACATGCCGCTTCTTTCACGCTGCGAAACAGAATAAAATAAAAAATGGCAAGTGCCAAGAAATGCGAGGCCGTCAGCCTGGCCAACACCCATACATCATTCGATTGTTCGGGGCCAGCGTAATTTGTAACCTAATTGAATGCGTAAGCGCCGGGGGCCCAAATCACGCATACGCCCCATTGAACCGCTCTCAATACGAGGTTTCATTTTCGGCGGCTCCAGACTTTTTTAATTATGGGCTGCAGTCAGAAACTCTTTGGCAGCTTTTCTTTTGTCGCTTTTGCTTTTGCCGCTTTTCCTAGCACACACACATGCCACGCCCCCTTATCACCCTCGCCCATCGCCCGCCCACTGTTGGCTCTTTATGTGAAGTTTTTAATTAACTGCCTTACAAAGATTTTCCTTCTTCCGGTATTTTTTTTTCGTTTTTATTTGTGTTGCCTGCCTTTTTGTGATTCTCTGCTGGCCCGGAGCCTGTTCTGGCCACAAATTGACATTTTTCCATGGAACGGGATGGGATACCTTTTTGACGTTTTTCGCCCTCCTATTTTTCGAATTTTTTCCAAGCTCTTCCATTTTTTTGTAGTTAGCTGGCGGAATTTAATAAGCCAGAAATGCGCCAGCCGAACCGAAATAAATTTGAAAAATCAGCAAACCCGCGATGTTCGCTAATTAAAGTTGCCCTCGGTGGCTAGATACGTTTTTTTTAAATGCTACACTCAGAGAAAAAAAAAACTGTTAATTTTTATTATTTTAATTATATATTTTATTCGAATATAGTTAATTCCGTTGAATATTTAAATGGTCTAAATAAAACAAACACAATCAAATGTTTAAGTCAAAGATCATTTTTAGAAAAATGTCATTAGAGTAAAACAATTAAGATAGATGATAAAATTTAAATAAAGACTTTTTATAAGTCATTTTATATTTTTTTTTGTTTTATTTGAGTTTTGTTAAATATAAAAATGTACACTTTATTCTCAGTGTAAAAGCATATGGCTGGCCACGCCCCCAGGCCCCTTACGCCCCCTGGCTAATGACAAATGGTTGTCAGTTTGTCAGTTGGCCGCTGCAACAACTGCAGATAAAAAGAGAGCAGCGCGTTTTCCTTCCTTTTTTCCCTGGCACCTTTTTTTTGGCAGGCCAAAAGGGCAAACTGCGGATTTTGCCGGGGGAGTGGGACAAGTTTTTGAAATGAATTGGAAGTAATGAATGAAGAAATGGAATGAATGGGGGCAAACTGGAGGCAGCAGCTGCTCGTTCGCCTGTGCAATTAACTGTGAAAATGCTGTCACAATATTTAAAAGTTTTAATTGTTTGTTCAATTGCAATTGCAATTTCAAACTGGCGCCAAACTTTGCACTTTTGTTGTTTTAAACTTGTTCAGCGACTCTCGCTCTCTGATGTCGTCTGCGTTCTGCTCCTCGTTTTTTCTTGCAGGCAAACAAAATAAATAAAAAAAAAGGAAAAAGGGAAAATAATAAAAAGAAAAAATAATTTAACATGAATATATCGCATTTCATGGAGTCATACATCACGCGGCGGCAGTCGGAGGGTTAAGGAGGCGGCAGAGGAGGAGGGCTAAGGAGGCGGGGGGCGTGGCCGGCCGGCGGGCAAGTGACAGCACTAACATAAACCACAATAATATCCAAAGTCATGAAGGAAGTAACCAAGTGTGAATTTTCGGTTTATGCCTTGCGAACCCAAGCGTTGAAGCGGCGCTGCTGCTGTTTTTGCCTCGCTTTTCCTCCTGCTTTTCCCCCTGATTTTCCCTCACCCGACAGCTTTTCCGCTTTCCCTCGGGCAGTGCTCGTTGGTGTGGCTTGTTCTCCTTCCTGTTGTCGGTGGGTCAAATGGGTGGGGCCTGGATTTATAGCTTCACTTGGCCACACTGGCGGACTCTAGTGAGCTGCATTACAAAAATTCCAAAGCAAATTTTTAATAACTGTTAACTGCGTTTAAGATATTTACATTAAAGGTAAATGACAACTAACAATTGTTAATTAATTGCAATTAGTCATTTTTATAAATTTAAATAAAATAATATGGGAAAAATAATTTTAAAATTTTGAATTTCTCTTGTTTAAAAAAAAAACAAGTTATAATTGATTTTTTTTCCTTTAGTATTCGAACTTTACTTAAAAACTTATTTTAAAGCAATTTTATTCCTAAAAACATTTTGGTACTCTAAAAAACACAAAAGATATTTAATTTAAAAAAATGTTAAACAATTTAAATTTAAATTGTAATTATTTTCATTATTTTTAGTAACCACTTTCAAGGCGTCACACAAAGGGGCTGACTGCGGTTTTGGCCCCCTTTTTTCGGAGTCCATCCGCTTACCCTCCCCCCAACCCAAAAACCCCTCCCCCTCCTTACCGACGCCACTGGCCGCTTGGCTGGGCACCCCTTGCAGTTGTTTTATTTGCGCTTCCGTTTCGCGGACAGTTTGCTTTGCTGTTTTTACTTCATTTTTCTCCAGTTCTGCACCCCGTATCTAACTGTCTCTGTTGCTCCTTTTTTGGTTTTTATTTTGTTTTATTTGTTTCTTTTGCTTACAACAGAAAAATGTTGCAACAAAACATTTACGACGTCATCGTTTCACAATTTTCGTGCTGTGAGGCCCAGGCCCCCTTTTGCTCACTTTCTCGCTGTCCTAAAATCGTTGTTTTGTGTTTGTGTGCTCTGTTGTGTTGTGTTGTGTCTTGAAATAAAAATTGTTGTTGCCGCTCTCGTTCTTCATGTTGTTGTACAAGGTCCGCCCACGAAACCCCCACCCCCCTTACCACTGTATGCCGCCAAAAAAAAAATTTAAAAAAAAACCAACACACAAAAAATAACAGTGGCAAAAAAAGAGAGGCAAACCTTGTGTCATTTATCATGCATTTCCACTTTTGGCTTCCGTCGACCGGGACGTGGCCCGCACAGACAAATGTACAGGGACAGGCGGACGGACAGACGAACGGACAAACGGACAGCCAGACGGACAGTGGTCGAGTCGAGCTGCTGGCAAGACAGCTGGAATGATGGCAGACCTCAGCCACAGGCTCTTCAGAGCAAAGAAATCGGGTTCACCAGCTATTCTGTAGTCAGTATAAATACCCTAGTTATACTTAATTTAATTTTGTAAATATTATATTTAACATAGGTCTTCCAAAAAATATAATATTAAATGTAAAAGTGCTTTAAATTCATTTAGAAAACCATTAAGTGGGAGCAAAATTATCAATGATCTTAAAGTTACAGTTTGTAGAATTCTAGGAAATACAAAAATGTATTCTTCAAATTAAATTATACATATTCTTAAAGCTTTTATAAATGATGGAGGACAAAATATTTAAAGGCAACAGCTATTCCATAATTTTAGTTTTTTAAGACCAAAGAAATCGAAATTTTTGTTTCTAAAAAACATTTTGTTATGCTAAATAGCTAATTATAATCAGGTTTGATACATTTACCTATGTTACCCTTCTCAGCTGTAGGTTCACATTACGGGAACCCAACAGAGCTTTTTTTTTGTCACTGCTCTTGGGCTTATTCATGCATGGGTGTGCAAAAAGGGGTGTCTGCAAAACAGTCACAAAACATAGACAGACGACCAATTTATGCGTTTTCATCTGCTGGTCATTTCCCAAAAAATTTCCATTTCATGGGGCAACAAAAAAAAGAAAGGAAAATGACAAAAATCTTTAAGCGGAATTCGAAATTAATCAAGACGAACGAACGCTAAATTCATTTCCTCCGCGGCCCCTGAATATAAGTTGCCAAGTCACTTGCGAAATTTGAATATGGAAATGTTGCGAGTGGACGACGGCCAGGAAGGGAAAATTATGAAAAAGTTCTTGAAATTGTTTGATATTGAAACGCGGCAAATATTCCCGGCTTCTTCCTTTTTTTGTACATATTTTTTACCCACTGGAGGGAAATTGATTAAGGGATCTCCGAGAGGTGGAAAAAGGGGGATGGGTTTGGCTGACTGTGATGGAGTGACTGCTCCAGGTGGAGAAGGCTGAAGGCTGACTGGAATGAGTTGACGATTTTCTAGGTCCTTGAAGGATGACATGAAAGGCGGCCAAAGGAACGAAACTGGAAATTCTCCACTTTCACCGGAATTTGATGGTGTGCAGTTAAATGATTTTTATTATTTATAAATGATGAACAGATAACTTGGCTGCCGTGAGAATAAAGGAGAATATTTTGTTAGGGAGTTTTCTTTGGGATTTTCTTTTATGATTTTTGCCATTTAATAAGCACATGTCAAGAAATAAGAGATTATAATTCTTGGATTCTATATCTACTGTTTACTTAAAGGTATAAACCTATACCTTCTTTTCGCCGCTACTGCTTCGATTTTCTAAGCTTGTAGCTGGGACTTGAAATGAAATGCAGTGAAGTTGGTTTCGATCTCATGTGGGGATTCAAGTTTCGACTTTTTCTGCCAAACAAATGCGACGCCATTTGGTCGCTCCCTTTCGCCATTTCTCCCTTTTCTCTCTGTTTCTCTGTGACGCATCGGAACCGCAATGAACTTGAGCCAGCTGTCAATGTGATAAATAAACTTGGCTCGCCAAAAGGGTACAGCCCCCTGGCACTGCTGCAACATATAAATAATAATCAGGCAGCGGCTGTCTCAGCTGTCTGGACACTGTGCGTTTCGCAAGTGTAAGGCAGGCTAATATACAACAAATAAATGTACAAAATATAGAAAAACACATAGAAGTAGATAAAAAATAAATTAATATCTACTTTATTTTAAAAGTGATAAAACTTTAAGTTATAGTTTTAAGATGTCCAGCCTTTTTAAAAGCTCTTTAGAATTTGATTATTCATTTTAAAGCACCTCTAAAAAATATGAAGTAATAAATTATATTGCTTTGAAATGTAGTACATTAATTTAATAAAAGAAATGTTATTTATTAATATCGTGAAACTTTCAAGTGAAATCAAATCAAAACTTGCCATTCAGTTTTGATCGTCTACTTCTGGCATATGCGTATTTTTTCCCGAGCAATCTGTTTTGCAAACTTATTTCAACTCTTGTGCGAAAGTTGGCCAACTGAAAACATGTATTATTCTCCTCCTTTGCAGCAGCAGAACTTTTGATCCAAGGGCGTGGCAATCGAGCAACAGGATGCTGATGGCGCTGCCTTTGCTGACTTTGGCGGTCCTCGCCAGCTGCGGCTACACCGTGGACGCCTACTCGAGTACGTATACGTGATATTGCCCCCATTGTTATCTGTTGTATCTGTGTACCAAGTAATCCCCGAGATGAGAGTTAACGTTTCATGCCTTCATCAAACCCCCGACCCCACATCATTGACATATATATATATAATGAAGTACCGAAGTATCGAAGCTAGTGGAGGAGAATTACCCCCTTATAATTTCCGTTTTTCCTTTTTTTATATTCCGTATGATTTTGAACCACTCCAAAAAATGAAAAATGAAAAACACAATCCACCACACACACTTGAACCTGAAATCCGTAATCCGAAATCCGTAATCCGTAATCCGAAATCCGAAATCCGTAATCCCAAAAAACCCAATCGAAGAGTACGGCCGTGGATGCGGGGACATTGGCTGCCTGCCCACCGAGGAGTGCGTCATCACCAGCGACTCGTGCAGCTACAATCAGCGGGACGGAAAGGATTGCGGCCAATATCCCACCTGCAAGCGGCGCTCCGGATCGACTGCCTCGAACAGCAGCCCCAATTTGGCGGCCAATCCCTCGGCCAATCCGTCAGGTATTTAGCTTGGAATCCCCCCACTTGATTACTCATTGTGCGCCTCCCTGGGGGAGTTGTCCAGGCGATTGGCATTGAGTATTTGGTACGGCGATTGGCGGCCACTACTTTTTGGTTACTCAAAAGAAAAGCAAAAACGACATTTGTGGCTAAAAGACAGGGATTTCTGTGGGGCTGACCAGAGCGGACTTCGGTTGCCGAAGCCAACAAAATGGCCTGGCAGAGCTGATAAAGATATTTTTTAGCGTTTATAACAGGTTATTATCCGTGCTTTATTCGAGACTAAACATTAAATATTAGAAAGGATAGAAATACTGGGTATACTATAAACACTAGACATTTTCATTACTTAAGGGGTCACAATTATCTAAAATAGATATTTTGATAGATCAATTAAAGAATTAATTTTACTTAACACACACTAACATTTGGTCTTTAAAGCTCTGCCAGGTTATAGATATTATTCCAAATTCTCAAACTTATTTTGTGTTTTTTTTTTTGTTTGGCCTTAAGTATTTGTTTAATTTAATGATCGTTTTCATCTATATATGTAAATATGCTAATATGCTATATAACCGAATGTAATATGTTGTATGGCGATCTAACACACACACAAACACACTCGCACAACCACACACAGACACACTGAGAGCTTCCGCTGACTCAATCAATCTAACACTCAATCAACCAATCAATCAATCAACCACTCGCTCGCTCGCTCATTCATCGCCTCATTCGCTCAAGGCTTCTAAATATTCGACTGCTAACCAACCAACCCACCACGCATCCACCCACTCAGCCCCCCGCCCCTCAACCTCTCCGTCGGCCACTTCTGCATGTTTAAGAATGTCACAGCACTGAGAGAAAAAAGGGCATAACAATGCCACCTCTACTTTTACTTGGCTATCAAAAAAGTTTAATCACTTCTATAAAAACTTGCAAGGCCTAGCTGAAAATGTAAAAAAATATTTTCCAAATTCAGTTCAACTTAAAATCACTGTTAAAGGAATTAGCTATTTTGCCACACTTTTATGCTCCAATTTGTATAGTCAATACATTAATTGCTATTTTCCAAATCAAGCTGAAATTTAAGATTTTTTGAGCTATTAAATGAAAATTAAAATTGGCCTATAATTTTTGGTTTGTTAGATAATTTAAAATTGATGAAAATTGATGAAATAAATTAATGCAGAGAGAGATTTTCTAAGATTTTAAAAAGTTATATTTTAGTGAAAAAGTTTTATTTAAAAAAAGTAACTTAGGAAGAAGAGATTCTTATGAGACTCTTATTTAAATATATCTGCATTTTCTCTCAGTGCTGGCTGGAGAGTGGGGTAGAGGGAGCTGGGTGGGCTGTGGCTGGGGGTGATGATCATGGCCAAGACTAACGCTAACGATAAAAACCGCTCTTCTTTCCCCCGCATCGAAAACTAACCACTAACAGGATCGAGTCTGGGCCAGGGACCCGAGAACAACATCTTTGCACCCGCCTCATCGAATCCCACGCTTAACACCTACACGTATAACAACAACCATCAGCAGGGCGGCGGCGGACATGATCAGAGCTCATCGAACGGAAACGGAAATGGCGGTGGCGGAGGGGGAAGTAACAACGGAAACGGCGACGGAAAGGGCGGCAATGCGGGGGCCGCGGGCGCCTCATCGACGGGCGTCATCGATCCGCACTACGTTTTTGGGGCCAAGCACCATATGCCCGTCATACCGAACATGCCCATCTTCCCGTACAACTCGCCCACGTCGGCGCCCTCGTTCCAGCAATTCCCCCAACCGAATCATCCAGGCAGCGTCCTCAATCCCGGCTACCCGATGCACGGCCTGCAGCCGGTGAATCCCTACAATCCGCCCTTCGTCTTTGGCCAGCTGCCCTTCTACGGCGGCGGTGGACCCACCGGCACGGGTGGTCCACCTGGAGGCGGTGGCGGTGGCATCCTCGGCGGCGGCGGCGGTGGCGGCGGCGGAGGCAACGGAGGGATCGGCGCCGGCGTCGGGCTGCCCAGCTCCACACTGGGCATCCTCGGGGGCGGCGGCGGCGGACTGGCGCCGTACGGCAGCAACTACCAGGGCTATCAGAGCCAGCACTCGAATGCGAATATGTACAACAAGCCGCCGCCGCAGTATCAGAATCAGAATCAACAGAATCCCTATAATCGGCGCACCCAGGCGCATCCCTCGGCAGCCGGCAGTCTGGTTCCGGGGATCCTCCTCCTGACCGCCGGCCTCGTCCTGGCCCTTCTCGGCCTGCCCTCTACGCACACGTAATAAGCAGGAGCAGCAGGGAAACCCAAGGGAAAGGCACAGCACACAAAAGAAATACGATACCCGTCGACACCCCGGAAAATTACCCATGATTTTTAGCATAATAACCATCGAGGAATGAGCCCATTTTCACTTCCTAATATTTTCATTTTAATCAGACTTTTCAATGATTTAAAAACAGAAAAAAGTACGGAAATTATTTGATTTTTTACTAAAAATTACAAAAAATACTAAAATACTATAAGCTTACTAGAAAAAAAACTAAAGAGCCATTCTGAAACTAAAAAATATCAAGTGAAAATGGACACTTCCCTGAAGGTTTTGTGTGTATTTTTTAGTTATTTTTATTTTCCTTACTCTCCTGATTTTTCTCAACTTTTTAAGTTCGAACCTTTGTTTTCGGCCTAGGCTTAAGAACAAAATGTAAAAGCAGTAGCAGCGGCAGTTAACTTGGCAATTAAATATTGTGCAATTTTCAAATAAGCCAAGAAATTCTACAAACTTATTTCTTTCAAACAAATTTCAAGTACTTAAATATTTTACATTTCCTGTTAATTCATTAGGGTTTTGTGCAACTGGGAAAAATTTACTTGCTACTGTTGTGTTCATACCTTTCTGGAATTAATTCGTAGGATGCTTTTCCTCTGCAGTTTTATCGAAAAACAATGAAATCTCTTCACATAATGATAACTTTTGCCTGGCTTTGCACAACACAATTCAAAAGGTTGTATTTTAATTACACTCTAAGCTGTAAGCCTTTGTATTTTGGCATTTTTTCTCATTCTCGGCAGCCTTTTGCTGTCTGGCCCACACTGCGAATACGTAATTTCAATTTAATATTGTGTAGGAGCTGCTGTCTCTGTGTGTGTGAGTTCATTTAGGTGTATGTGTGTGTGTGTGTTTTCGACTATCAGTCAAGGGGAACCTACTGCTCGTTGGCCCCTGGGAGCTGCTCTTTTTTGCAGCTCAATTAAATTGGAATTTAATTTCGGGCTTAGACAGCCAGCCTCTGGTCAAAAAAGGGAGGCTAAAGGTCTGACCACCGCACACACATACAGATGAACACACACATGCATGGGATGGCTGGGAAACTTTGATGTTAATTTCATTTTTGTTGATGCTACGAATTTGCGGCCAGACTTTGGCGGATCCCGGGGATTTCGATGATATGATGATGATGATGATGCTGCCACTGCTGCTGCAGTCAAAAATACAAAAATACGAATACAAATACAAATACAGATACTTAGAGGGATAGATGGATAGTGTTGTAGATACAAGATACGCATGTCAATCAAAATGCATAATGAGCTACATTCGAATGGCAGTGCACCAAGTGCATATTGGTTATTATTTTCTTTTTTTTTGATACAATTACGAATTACGATTACGAATATGAATAAATAATCACTGGAAGCAAATTAAATGGCATTTTAAAAGGAAACAAAGGAAAAACAAAAGATTTAAGCTAGCCTAAGGTGTTCAAAACTAATCTAAAGCTAAAACTAAAAGCAAAAAACTAAAAACTAAAACTAAGCTGTAAGTGCTGCAGAAAAAACCCGAAAAATCAAAAGAAAACTGTCACAAAAAGGCATTTACATTTACATTGCTAACCAACTGCCAGAAATACAAATACAACTGCAAAATCGAAAGCCAAAATGTGAAAAACCAAATGCAGAATTCAGAGTATGGAATACAAATTGTGAAACACTTTAGTCTTCACACACACACACAAACTTGAGTCCTCAAAAATTCAAAACTGCCCAAGATAACACAAGAAACATAACGAACATAACGATTTTGTCGCTGTAAATTCCGGATAAAAAGCACTCATTTCGAGCATATTTACTCCGTCCGTTTGTATTTGTATTTGCACACTTTACACACTTTGGGACAACCAACTAACTTCATTTGCAATCTCTGAACCGGAACCATGTAAACAGTACGACCAGTATTAACCAAACTGAAATCATTTTATCGAGTTAAGAAACCCAATATTATCCCCCTCCCCCCCCCCAAACATCTACCCACAAACACACGGGCAAACAATAAGTATTCGAGTATTTACTAATCAAAACCACTAACTAAAGAGTTGTACATAGCATTAAATATATATATATATATATATATATTATATATAAATGTGCGTGGGACAGAAGAGATATATTTAATATACTAAAGCGAAGACTTAACTAGAATAAGAGATTCCGGGCGGACAAAAACTCAAAGTTGTGTAGATTTAAAGTTATTAATCAACAACAAAAAACTAAGCTAAGTTCCATTGATTGTAACTCATTGTAATGACTTTATTATCTTGACTAATTTGTGTTATATATGTTTTTTTGTTTTTTATTTATTTTGTGCTTTTCTTTTTTATACTCTTCATTTTCGCCCCCATTTCGATTCGAAATCCCTCGCTTTTGTGGCTAACCAACCAACTGCTTGCGCGCTCACACTGCTGTGCTGCACTGCTTTGCCGACTGATCAGAGGTGAGCCATAACACATACGCCCCGAATGCCCCGAGTGCCCCGCTGCCGGATGCGGATGCAAACAGTGGAGGTGGCGGAGGCGCAAGTGGCGGATACGGTGGCGGCTTCTCGGCTGGCGGTCAATCCCTGTACCCCAGTCTACCCAACTCGAACGGAGGAGGCGGTGGTGGTGGTGCGGCGCCCTATAATCCCTATGCTGCCGGTGGTGCCGGTGGTGCTGGCTACAATCCCTACAACGGCGGCTACAATCCCGGCAACGGCGGCTATCAACCCCCAGCCCCTGGCGGCGGCTATCAGCCCTATCAGCCCAGACCTGGCTACACGCCACCCGCCCCGGGCTACGAGAATAATGGTGGTGGTGGTGCCCAGAAACCCAAGGACAAGGAGGGCGGCTTCTTCTCCAACTTCTTTTCGAATCCGGCGGTGAGTCAAGCGGTGTCCGGTATCATTGCAGGCCAGATAGCCAAGCAGCTGCAGGGTGGCGGAGCCGGAGGAGCAGGTGGTCAGCAGCAGCCCAGTGGTGGCTATCAGCCCAGCGGAGGCTATGGCGGAGGATCAGCAGCAGGAGGCGGCGGCGGCGGAGGAGGTGGCTCCAACATCCTAGGAGGTCTTCTGGGATCCGTTCTGTCCGGCGGAGGTGGTCAGAATGGAGGAGGCGGTGGCGGTGGAGGAGCCAGCAGCTTCTTGGGCAGCCTGCTCAGCGGCGGAAATGGCAACCGGGGTGGCCAGCAGGGAGGAGGTGGAGGAGGCGGACTGGGCGACATCTTCAGCTCGAAGAACTTTGGCGGCCTCTTCAGCGAGAATCCCTCTTCCCGGGGCGGCGGCTCCTCATCCTCCGATGGCGGCGCCAAGGGGTATCCCACCCAGGCACCTGGCAATTACTACGGCTAAAATGGAGTAGCCTCCCCCAATGTGGAGATCTAGATATAGACTCTTCCCCAATTGAAATTCACCCCTCTACCTATTTTTTTCTTTCGTTCTTTGGCAATGTAATCAAATGGAGAACTTTCAACGAAATTAACTGAAACAATATTGAAATATATACATTTAAGCATATTATACGCAACTATAAATGACGATTATACAAATACAATACATATATACAACAAACCAACATATATATATAAATAAACCTATATATATATATAAACCCCCGATAAATAAAAAAATAAGAAAGAGAGCTGTCTAACATGTAATTTGAGATACCGTGCGCGTAGCATTCCCCCTTGGAAATTAAAAGAAACCGAAAAGCCCCATTCATTTGTAAATAGAAAAGTAACTGAAATTAAAATTGAACAAGAAAATATACGTAAGAATTGAAAGCCAACTGATAAGAGTTTTTCTTTCAGTGGTTTTGGGTTTAAGGTGAAAGTTAAAAGGAGTTTCAAGGTAAGTTACAAGATAAGCACAATGAGATAATCTCGGGTGAGTGGTGAATGTGAGTTGTGTCCCGATTAATTATTTTAAAATAAAATATAAATTAAACTGTGAAAAAGAAATCTTCTTTGAGTAGACAAGTGAACTTATAATTTATTATTTAAATAAATTATTTTATAATCAATCAAAAAATCAAATTAAAATATAATATTTAAAATTTTATATTTTTTATATTTATATTGCATTTAGATCATCACAATTAATGAATTATTAAATATTTAAATTAATTTAGAAAATGAAATCTTTAAAAATATTTCCTTAACATTATGAAGATTTTATATTGCAACATTTATAATTTACTATTTTATCTAGATAACATTTTAGTTCGAAAAGGGGGAACATTAAGCCACATAATAACCTAGTCAACAAATGGAGAGTGTAAATGGCTTTTGGCGGAATTGCGAAACGGAAAAATAAGTGAGATCTTTAATCAACGCGATCATAACTTTTTAAGAGGCTGTTGACTGAAGGCAAGCGGATTTGCAGCCCGAAAAGTTGCCCGAGTTGGCAAAAACTTTCGCATTCGTTGGGGGCGGCGGGGGGCGTGGCACTTGAAATGCGCTGCGTTTCCGTTGCAGTTTCACCTGTTCAGCCGTTCACCTGTCCTGTGCCGCCTCGCACTTCACATTGGCCACACCACATACTCAGCTCTCTAGCTGCACAGTTCTAGCATTCTGCACTTGGCAGTTGGCAGTTATCCGGAGGAGCAGCGGAGGAGCAGGCGAGAAACGAGGGACAACCCATCGCCGCTCCGGCAAACATTTTGTTGCCTTTGTTGGCCGGAATGTGAATGTGAATGTTGCTGCTGCACTGCAACAATATATTATGCGCTAAGCTCCTCAACTATGCAGCCGGCGGATGGGTGGCCATTTGGCTTTGGCTTTGGCTTTGGCTCTGGTTAACCGACTACCGTTTTGTAATTTATTTAAGTAATAAAATAAATATACGTACGTTATACGTTGCGCACCTGCCCGTCTGGCCGGCTAACCATATATGTAGCTCCATGGATGTGTAGATGGGTGTGTATAGATGTGGATGCCATGCTGACGGTGGGTTTGTTGTCAAGCGAAAGTGCGCCTCAAGTGCACCAAGCACCCACTTGGCCAAAGTGAATTTAGTGTCAAGTGCAGGAAAATGTGAAAAGCAGCTGCGAGTTAGTTTTTCATATTTAAGCAGCACTTCACCCAGCAGCAGCAGCAACAACAACAACAACAGCGAAGGGAGGAGCGGCCAACACTGGTCGGTTGTCTATGGAAAATGGAGAATTTGTAGAAACTATTCAATTATTAATGCGGTTATTCCACTACATCGTTCGGATCATTCATTAGTACAATTTTTTCTCAGCCCATACGATTTTACGTAGGTGCGAGCAAGATCCGATTTACAGTAGCTCTAATAAATGAGCAAAATTGTACTTTTTAGATTCAATTTTGCTCATACAAAAAAAAAAAATGGTGGCCTTCGGTTTTTAAAATTTTGCTCATTAATTGCTCATTGCAGCTGACATATATCTGTCTTGCTCGCACCTACGTAAAATCGTATAGGCTGAGAAAAAATTGTTCTAATGAATGAGCCGACCAATGTAGTGGAATACCCGCATTACTATTTTAATTAAACATAAAATCCTGTTTATTATTTTGTTTTACAGATATAAGCAATATTTAACATTGCCTTCGAAGTACGTGTAGTGACGAAGCGCAGCGTGCAAATAAGAAAATTTGTGAAAGTTTATTTAGAGGCGTGTGTAATTATTTTTCGCCTTAAAAATTGATATCAAAACTTTTAAATAAAACTTTAAAATAAATAAAAATTTAAAGGTGTGATCTTCACCTCGTTAAGAGATGTTTTTATTTAATAAAAACTATTTATAATTATAAGATGGAATTCTTAGGACACCCCAAATCTTCCCAACAAAGTTCCCAAAACAAAAATAATTATAATAAATACAAAAACAGTTCGGAAATTCTAAGAATCTCTACATTGTTCTTTCCGATTAAATTTGAATTCCTATACTTTTTTTTTTGCTTAGTAGCAGGCTGCGTCTCACGCTTTATAAGGTGAATTTCCCATCGTAGCCCCCAAAAATCATTTAAAGCCCCATCGAACCGGTGATAAGTCGAGCGTAGAGCAAAAACTCAACAAATTAAGCTAAAAGTTTTCAATTTCGGCCAAATCATACATATAGTGTAGGAGGACAAAAGAATAGCGAATTTCGAAGATGGAGGAGTATAACCGTGAACCCTGTCCCTTTCGCATCGTCGACGATTGTGGCGGCGCCTTTGCAATGGGCTGCATCGGCGGCGGTCTCTTCCAGGGACTGAAGGGATTCCGGAATGCGCCGCAGGGCTTTGGCCGGCGGTTCGCCGGGGGATTGGCCGCCGTGAAGGCCAGGTCGCCGACAGTGGGCGGCAGCTTCGCCTCGTGGGGCTGCGTCTTCAGCATGGTGGACTGCACCCTGGTGCATCTGCGCAAGAAAGAGGACCCCTGGAACTCGATCATCAGTGGTGCCATGACCGGCGGTATTCTCTCCGCGCGCAACGGAGTGGCCGCGATGTTCGGAAGCGCCATCTTGGGCGGATGCCTGCTCTCGATGATCGAGGGCGTGGGCATCCTGTTCACCCGCATCTCCGCGGAGCAGTTCCGCAACTTTGATCCCCAGTCGCAGGCCGATTATCAAGGGCCCAGCGATGTCTTTGCATTTGAAAAGGTATCTGTAGTTGAACCGATAGCGAAATCTGCACCTCAAACCGGAACTGGAGCTGCCGCAGGATCCGGCGATTTTAACTCTGCGCCGGGCTTTGGCTTCCCCGGCGCCAACCAACAGCAGGCCAATGCCAGCAGCTAAATTTGAAGTTATCGTAGTTGTAATCATGTTTTCCTTTTCCATTCGATCGAGGCCATTCAGTTTTGTGTGCCCCGAAGGCATCTAAATTCTAAGCTTATGCAAGCCTTGAGAGCGAAATCATTAGTTTTTGTAAAAAGCTTTTTAGATTTGTAAAATAAATCCAAATACTTAAAACTTTCGTCTGCATTTTAAGAAAATACATTTTGGAAGCAGATTGTATTTTATTATCAAAATTTTAAATATAATATATTTTGGTATTGGTTGAACTATTTAAAAGATATCATAGTTTGTAGAATGTAATTAGATATTTAAAAAAAAGTAAATATAATAATCTTTATTGAATATATTTAAAACTCCACTATGTGATTTCCAAATGAAAGGAAAAATGTTTTAAATTAACTGCTAAATTTTAAGCAAATACTTTACGAATTTTCCAAATTAATATTAAAATGTCAATTTTGTTATTTAAAATGAAATATTTTATTATTTCATTTATTTCATTTTTTTAAATAAAATAAATAGCGTTATATACATTTAAAGGTCTCGCATTTGATTTCCTGCAATCCTGCACCACTGTGCACCTGCACCACCCATAGCCAGTCAGTGGGTGGTGCAGATCGAGGACCAGGACTTTTGGTTCGGGGCTGGGATTTCAGCTGGCTGGCAGCTCCTTCAGGGCAAAACAATGCACGCCGCATTTAGAAGCCTTTCGCTCTCGGTGCCTCCCCTTAAACCCTCAAACCCTTAACCCCTCCGTGCCCCTCTAGACCATCACCCTTAACCCATTCCCGCCTCGTTCCGTTGCGGATGTCGTTGACTTTTCAAGTCGCATTAGAAGCGACACGGCGGCGTCGTCATCGCGGTGGTTGGGTGTTTCGGTGGCTGGTTGAGTGGGTGGTGGCGTGGGTGGGGCATAAAAATACATGTAAGAGGCTTTCAGCTTATTGTTTGGCACTGTCGCGTTTTTATGATTGCACGCAAGGCTCTCTGGCCATCCTCCCCCTGCTCCTCCTCGGTCGTCTGGCTTTTGGGCCCTTGTCTCGGCTTAATTTTATTGATATTACACGTACTTGAAGTCGACGACCAGGTCGAAAACAGCCATACCCACATACCCACTCCCAAATACCCATTCCCATTCCCATTTCCATTCGCATTCCCATCGTCGTCTGGCTATTAATTTTTACGGCTTGCGACTTACGGCTTACGGCAGCCGTAGCATAAATGCCCGCTAGATGGCGCTTCTCCGCACAAGTTGATCAATTTTTTATATCTATTGGCACTTACTTGCCGCGATATATCGTATGCATTATATATTTATGCTCCGCCCTGCTTGTGCAAATCCAATTACGGTTTCATAATCAAGTATCCAAGACCCGCAAGTGTTGTCACTTTATTCACTCTATTTTTTTGGGTACTCACAAGAAACATCGACTATCAGATACCCATTACCAGGGAGATGCGACTGCTTGCACTGCTTGAACTTTTATTATTTTCTTTGATCATAACTTTTTAATAAATGGTTCGATTTGAAAAATTTCTTTTACAATTCGATAGGTATTAATAAACACAACTAAATGTCAATTATATTTTTCCGAAATCTTTGTAGATGTGTCAGGAATAGTAAATACATTTAAAGCCTTCATTAGTTTTCTTTCTCTTTTTTCTCCCATTTAAGGAAAACTTTTTCAAAGATTTTTTCGAATTACTGGCTAAATCTTAATGAAATTCCTGTTTGTCCGACCAAATATTTCTCGTGGCTATTTTCTCGATTGGCTCCTCTTTCATTTTGTATTCTAACAACAACTATTCTTTAACATGTGTATTATGTATATAGTCTTGTTCGTGTTGTTCTTGTTGCTGCTATTGTTGTGGGGCAATAAAAATGCTACAACTTAATTAATTAAGTGCAAATGATAAAAATGACCAAACAGCACGAAACACACACACACACACTTGGCAAACAGAGAGAGAAAAAACTAATTAAGTTTTATGTGCAATTTTCGTGGCTGAAAAGTTTCGTTTGTGTGGCAATCGTGTGGTGGTCCAAAAGGGGGTGTGGCACCAAAAAGGGGGCGGCGGCAGTGGCTTTGAGGGGGGCGTGGCCTGGGGGGTAAATGTGGCACGTTACGTTGCCGTCACGTTCTGTTATTTATTTTGATAGTTTGTTGTAGCTGCAGCGCTCTCACATTGTCTCCCCCTCGGCCTTTCTCCCACTTTCTCCCCCACCCTCACCCCTCGTTCTCTGTTTTTCCATCTCTTTTGGCGGGAAATCTGTGCACTGACATTTGCCGCGATTAATGAAAGTTAAGCTTTTGTCCGAAGTCTTTAATTTGTGGCCATTAGAGGGCGGCCAGCACCAACACACAATCGTCAATGTATATATGTGTGTATATGTGTGCGCATGGCTAAAAATAAGGGTAATAGAGAAATGGTAGTGACACACTCACACACAGGGAGAAAATAGTGTTAAAAATGGGGGGTAAGATACCCTTTTTCTTTTTGTGTAAACATTCTCAATTCCAATTGCTGGTGCTAAATAAGATCGTAATCCTTTTTTTGTTTCCTAATTTTTGGCAATTTCTCGCAAAAAATCGTTACTATTATTTTCTTTGTTTCGGCATCAAAAATACTGATCGATTGCAATGGAAACCTAGGATAAAATAGCACCAACTACAGCCAATTTTTTCAAGTGTTCACTCAACAAAACATTTCCCAATCGGCTGCAGTGGCAACTCCAGATGGGAAAAATGCATTGCCTACTTATGTGTGCAACGTCAGAGGAGCTCGTTGCCAAATTGAGTAGCGCATTATGGCGCGCGGGCGGTTTTTCCGGGGTGGCTTTTCCACTGGGTGTGCTGGAAAAACACATGCCTGCCCGACGCTTGTTTACATGCGTTTGGCGCACCCGCCAGATAAATCAGCAGCAACAACATCGCAGCAGCAACATCACAACAGCAGCAGCAGCAACAAATGCAGCTGCAACATCAACAGAGCAGCTCTGATTTAGTCAACGCTGATTGTTAAAGTAAGAACTGCAACCACGACATGGGTAAATTTGCAAAACAAACTCTTCCTTTCGTCCCTTTGCCACCCACTTCACAGGTGTGGTCAGCTTAATAGTGGTAGTAGAATGTTTTCGAAAAAGTGTACAAATAAATGTCAATGCTATTTCCGAAAAACATTTCTGTTGCTGGAATTTTAAATCAACTGCGCCAGTGTTGAACACTCGCGAAATACCGTTTAATAATATTTTAAAAAGAGAAAAAGCTTTGAATAAAATTTTAAAAATAATAATAAAATCATATTATAAACAAAATATATTTGTTTTAATATTTGTAAAATATTTTAGATATTTTTCAATTAATTTTGAATACCCAAAGATATCCCAATTTGTTCTACTATTTCCACCCCAGCTGTGTGGCCCATTCAAAGTCTCCGATTGCAGCTTGAATTTAGTTGCAATTCAAAGCCCACTAGCAGCATTGAGAAGTTGTTGAAAAATATTTGTCCTCTGCCATGCAGAACTTGCAGTTTAGCCCAACTCCCCATCCTCCTCGCCTCCTCGTTTTCCATCCGATGTGTGGGAAAACTTTCGACTTCAGTACACAACTTACCTCAACTTGTGCAGAGGCACAGAAAAAATTTGTTAACTTTGGCCAAGGCAAGGAGGTTGAAAGGACGCAGGACGAAAACTTTTGCATTCGCCTGCAGTTGAAGTTGGCCGGAGAGTAATTGAGGCACTCGAGGGCGAAAGGAGCCGAGTCCAATTTTCGCAAATCGTCCGTTTTTGCAGGTGATAAATTTTGAAAGGCATTTTAATTGATTTCGACAAATGAAATTAAATTCGTAGCAGCACCGGAGCGCAGGAGGTGTGAGCCAACATCAAATATTAAATGTTCTGCCATTTGAATTATCAAATTTCGTTTCGTTTTGCGCCTTTGCTGTTTCTCATGTGAGTTTCAATTAAAAATTTACTTATTTGCTCGACAAAGTTTTTGTGTGGCATTTAGCAGGGACTGTAGGCGGTGGGGGCGTGGCATCGGGGCGGAACTCAAATACCGAAATGCTCAAATACAAAACGGCAGACAAATGAAGACGGAGATGCAGATGGCATAAACGGCATAGAAGGAATGGGAATGAATAAATTTCCAAGCAGTTGAAATGTTGAACCAAGCGAAGTTTCTGCTTTGTTTTGGCGCCTCAGCTCAAGAAACACATAAAATGAGCAGGGCACAAAGGTGCACTGCGAGAAACAAAGAGGGCTCAAGTGTGGAAAGATAATAAATGGTAAATTTAACCTACAAATAAAATACTAAATGTATTTTAGGATAAATATAAATAAATAGGTAGCAATCCCAAGAGTGGTCATAATTTTTTCTACATTTTTTTCAGTGCACTCGCTTCCAAGGAAGATGCAATAGTTGGAAGCGACTGAAGCTGCATGCGGTTTGTGGTGGCATCTTACTTGCTGCACACTTTTGTGGACTTCGGAAAGGGATTGGAAAAGGGGGCGTAAATGGAGTGGTAATGGGAAAAGGGGGCGTGGCGGGGGCCTCTGTTCAAGTTGTGCAGCAAAAGCCACAAAAATAAGAAACGACGACAAAGTATACGGCCCCCTTTGCTTCACCCATCCCCCTTTTTCAGCCGCCGCCTCTGTGCGAAAAATTAGAACCGCAAATCATTTTGAAAACAATGCATATGCCATGTCATATAAGTAGGCGGCAGGGAAGGGAAGGGGAGGGGCGGTTGGTTGTTCGGAAATAGAGAGAGAGACTTTTCCTGGGCGTTTCCAGGAAAGTGCACAAAATCCTCATCTATCTGGGAAAACAGCCACAAAACAAGTCGGATATCCGAGATTCCCCCAATGCTAATTAGTCGGGCTGCGGTTTCTAATTGGGATTAGCATTCGCCGAAGGAGCAACTTTCAGCTACTTTCACAAATAATCGCGAGATATGCTCGCTACCATAAGCTCATTAGGCCAACCAGTTCGCAATTATTCAATCTTCTTAATTGTGTCAAATTAAATTGATGGTACTCAAGGTAGTGCCACAAAAAGATTATAATTTAAATGTATATAGCTGGAATATTATTGAAATTAAACGATATAAGGGTATCGTAAATTTTGGTATCTTGATTTTTGATAAAAATTTGATATTTTTATTATAGCAAAAAATTTATAAAAAATAAATAAAATGATCACCAAAAATTAAATGTTACGAAAAGTAATGGAAACCCATTACTTATCCATTACCCAGAAAGTACAGTAAAAAGGGTGTCAAAAATATGGTTCTTTGGGCTGTCAGATTTCCCAGTTTTCCCAATCAGGGCGATAATCATATTCACGTCGACCACAAAAGAAAATGACTAGAAAATGAATATGTGGACTAGGAAAACCGCAAAGAGCTGCTAAGCATTGGAGATTGGAGGCTTCGGCTTTGGCTTCTACTTGGGTTTCGTTTTGGGATTGGACTTGGGGTTTGGTTCTGGTGTTTGGGCCATGTTAATGTCGGCTCAGACATGTCTAACACCCTTTGGCTAAGCCGCTTCCCCTTCCCCTTCCGCTGCCTTTTTGCTTTCACCCCACTTGCAATTTAATATTCATTTTGTGAAAAGCCCATTTACATTTTGCGTTTGCCCTTTTTCATTTTTGTCCTGCCACTCCAGGTCCTTTCCATTCTCCATTCTGCAACTCCAACTCCTTGTCCATATTCTGTTTCTGCTGCTGCTTCTGTTGCTTCGTGCATGTGTGTTGCACTTTCTTTTCTCGACCCCATTTCCCCATTTCCCGCTTTCCCCAAACCCAAACCCAAAGGACCCACTGCTCAACACGGCGTATGCGTAATCTAAGCAGAGCTCTCCCTCTCCACTTCCCAGTCCTCAGCCAGTGCCTTTTGTTTGTCTTAATTCAACCGCAAAGGCACAAGGATGCGGGATGTAGGATACAGGATGTGGGGATGCTGGGACAGGGATTTGCGTCCGTTGACCACTTGAAAAGATTTTTAACCCGCTGCCAGCTGCTGTCCCCGTTTCAACCCCTCCTTCTCGCCTTTCTCTCAGTTGGAAAACCTGCTGCAGCTGTTGATTTATACGCACTGGACCATGTCAATGTCGATGCTGAGCGCCCTGAGGGAAGCAATCATCGCCGGGTGCCATAACCAGATGCCCATGGACTCCCTACACTGCTAAAAAATAGTTATATCTAAGAATTTGTATGTTCATATCTCTGTAAAGTTTCCTTTAAGTGTTTTCAAGCTCATAAAATCTTTAGATACAAAAATATTAAAAAAAAAAATAGACAAAATATTAAGAAAATATTGTCAAGGGCTTGGGGTTATAACATTTGTTGTAAAGCATTTTAAACATATTAAATTAGGTGGGTAGAATATTTAGATAATAATGGCAAAGCATTGAATTTATTACATTTGTTTTAAAATATTTTTAAAATAGTAAGTCAAGTGCGTAAAATATTTAGAAAATATTGGAAACGCATTAAAGTTATTACATTTGTTAATTCACACTTTTTTTGCCACACTGTAAAACCGAACTCAATCCTCGCCTGTTGTTTCTTTCCATTTGGTTGACTTTCGGTTGGTTTGGGCTGGCAAACAACGACCAAAGCCCACTAAACACCCACAATTAGCCGCTGGGAAATTGTTTTTCGGGCGCCGAAATAGTTATTAAAATACTTATGGACAGTTAAATGTTTAATCAATGTCCCGCCATATGTGATAATTGGGGCGTACGCATGGGCAAGGGAGGGGGGCGTGGCAAATATTTGGCCGCCGGCCACAAAAACCGGTTTTACTGGCGACCAGAGAACAGCGAGAGCAAATGCAATTGAAATGCAAATATTAATTACAATCAAAAAAGGGGGGCGAGAGCAGTCAGGTGAAATCGAAAAGTACCCAAAAAGATTAGGTTATTCGAGCGGACGAATTTGTGAAGCGACCCTCGCATTTTGCGCCTCATGAACCGTTCACGCAACGTGTCACGCTGTAAATAGAATTTGTGCATAATAAAATTATGCATTCATAAAGCAGTTGCAGTTGCAGTCGGAGTGCCGAACATGGCCATAAAACACTCGCTGAATGCAATTTTCAGTATACCACCACTCTCGGGATTTTCCCTATATAGTATATACTGTATATGCACACAATGCAGTGCCATGGAAACCGGGGAAGCCTCTGTCTGATTTTCCACTGCCATTCAAACGGGAATAGTGGGGAGTCCTTCTGAAAGGCGGCGTCATCGACCGTGAGTCCATTTGGCCGAGCCGAAGAAGCGACGACCCCCCGATGGCAGCCAAGGGGAACCGCATATGCCTTTTGGAATTGAAACTGCAATTGGAAGCATCATCATCATCATCGCCGTCTTTCTCCTGGCCCGGGGCATCATTTTCCCAATGCTCCGCTGCACAGTGGCAGCAGCTTTAATTTCAAAGGACCAAGTACAGGATACTCCCCAAGTTTTGGTGTCCCCCAAAAAATATTTAATAAATAGTTATATATAAATAAATGGGATTACAAAATGTATATGAAATATATTTTAAATCTTTATGGGGTAAAATCTATTCTAAAGCTCCTTTAGATATTTATCCTTATTTATTCTTAAATTAGAGAAAATAAATATTATGCGTAAAGGACCTTAACCGTCTCCTGCCCACCTGATTCCCGATTCCTGCCTGTCTGCCTGTCCACCTGGCTAACCGACATCCTCGACTAATTCCACAATTTTCTGAGGGACAGCTAAGTCGGCTCCCGTTTCCTTGGATTTCAGCACAGATTTCGTACGGGGTGACGTCCATAAACGGATTATAATGCGTGAACCCGCCCCTTTTCCCACCGCCCGCCGCCTACTTATGCCTGCCCATCGCCGGGCAGTTAAACCGCTTACGGAAATTCTGTTCCCTGTTGCCCAGATTTCCTTTAAACGGTGCACTCGGCAAAAGAAGTAATGGGTATCTGATATTCGCATACAAATTATTAAATTTCAAATTTCCAAACACGAATAATTATAATATAAAATAATTATAATTATAATAGTAATACAATATTTATAAAAACGAAAACATAAAGAATTTTCTTGAACCATTTTCTTATTATTAAAGAAAATAATATTTATAAAATAAATGGTAAATTATTTATAGTAATATTGTTTTTATTTTTAATTAACCTTTAAGATCCAAGCATGGTTTTTATTTTTATGAAAATAAAAATAATACAAAACAAAATGAACCTGGGATTTCCCAAGTGTACGATCCTGCCTCTCATCCGCGGTGCTTCCTGAGCTTTGTCGAGGCAAAAGTCCATTCTGTCACGTTTTATATTGATATTTAAAAAAACAGCAGGGGGAGGGCCAAGAGGAAGGGCCGACCGCCGCAGCAACAACTAACAACTAAACAAAATGGCAAAACAAATTTCTGCGCGTTTTGCGCCGCTCAGCACGTAGGCAGGGGCGTAGTGGAAAAGCAGTGGAGGAGGGAAAGGGGATAGGGGAGGGATGGCTTTTCACGTGGCAGCCACGTAGCAAATGGCAGCGGCGAACGGAAATTGCAATTGAGTGCAAATTGCAAGAAGAAAAGGGCTTTCCCTCTCGCTCCTTTTGCCCAATTTTCACCCACTTCCTGTCGCCTTTTGCCCCCTTTCGCCACCCCCTTCCGCCCCCTCCCTTGTCTCCTTCGATTTTCGTGTACTTCCTGGCGAGAGCTCGGTAAATTTTTAATGCCCCCAGTGGCCCACAGTGATTTCGCAGCCCCCCAAAACAGCCCGCTAATGAATAAATCTGACCATCTTGAGCCATTGGCCTGGGGAGGCGGCTTTAATGATTAACCACCGGCAAGGCTGCGTTGCCACCACCCACTACCACCCACTGCCGCCACCCACTTTCCATAACAATGACACCCGCATCATCGGCGGGTCGTATGCTTGTTTGCCTTCGGCGCCTTCAACTTCATCGTCGTTTGTCACGTTCGGGGCGCGATTTTTATCGCCCGCAAGTGGGGCGCGGAAAACCAGGAAAAGCAGGAGGCTTTAATTAATTTTCACGCCAAAAATCACACACCATTTCGAGCTCTTAACAATCTGGTTTGGAATCAGAAATCCAAGATACATGAAAATAAAATACAAATAAATCATGTTACCCAAATAAAATAGCAGAGAAATGTTATTATAATTTTAAGTGCTTTTTATAAAAAATATTAAATATAAAACGGACAGACGGATGGATGGACATGGCTAGGCTAGTGATCGGATCAAGAATTTATACATTATAGGGTCAGAAACGCCACCTTCTTCACAAGTCATTTATAAAACGGAAAAAGGTTCGCGCGCCCCATTTCAAATAATTTAGATTTCGCATTAACATTTTGGGAATTAGAGTGACCAGAAGAGGTTCATATTAAATAAAGATAAAATAATAAATCAAAATAAAGTAATTAAAAACATAAGATTAATTTCTTGTGTGTAATGAGTGTATTTATATTTTATCGTGTTTTATGGCGTAAGTTGTTAGTAACTATAACTTCAGTGGTTTCAATTGGCTTCGATGTGTAGTGTGTGTCTTTTGAGTATGTGTATTTGGATTGAATGGAAACGTTGAACATATTTAACCAGAAATAAAGAAAACCAAATACGTTTGATAGTCTGCCGATTCTTAGTCTTGGCCAGTCCTATCGACCACTGCCACTTGAATTTCCTCGCCACTTTCCATCGACATCTCATCGCCAGTGGTATCGACATCTGCCACCTGGATTTCCCCACTATTAGCTCCCTCGGGTTCCGTTTTCTCCGCTTCCAGTTCAAAATACTTGGCACTGTACAGTTGCACCTCCATGGCCAGCTGCTCCAGGCACTCAAAAATAAATTCCCTGCTGAAAACTTCCTTCAGGAGTGCGATCAGGTAAGGATTATTTAAACCCCGTGAGTCCATCCAAAGAAGGAAAGCCTCCCACAATTTTGGAACAACAATCGCCAGACAGTAGGCTGTGGGGAAAATCGAAAGTTAAATATTACTTCATAAAAATGTTTTTAAATATTAACAGCTTAATTAAAAAGAAAGGAAAAATTAATTACTTTTTTAACCAGTTTTTTATAGGAATGTAGAAGCTATTCTAGGACCACGCTTTTTTAAGGATACCTACCGATCTTAATCAGCGTGGAGAGGTTTATCCAGCAGAGGATGGCGCGCACCTCCATCAGGACGAACAGCAGCAGGAGGCTGGCCTGCAGGTCCGTTCCGAGGAGGAGGAACTGAGCGGTGGCCACCGAGCGGTTGATGCAGTTGGCCACCTGGCCGACCACACGGACGCCCAGGTCCAGCGACTTCGATACATTGATCCGGCAATCCAGCAGCTCCTCGTAGGGCAGAAAGCGCACGTATGGCCGGATGGCCGAGTAGATCAGCAGATGGACCAGGAGCATCAGGCCCGCCATGCCCAGCAGCTGGGGCAGCGAGTGACTGGTCAGGAAGTCGATGACCACGAGTCCGAGGAACAACCAGAGGCCACTGAGTCTGAGATCGCGGCACAGGATCAATTGCCACACGAAGCGGGGCACGGCAAAGCCGCCCACCACCCCGCAAAACTCATCCCATGTATATCTCTGTGCTCGCAAAGTTGCCTCCCCCTCTATATTCATCTCTGGATTCTCGGGAATACTCATGATTGTTCTAAAAAAGGTTAAAATAATACCTTGTTTTATTAGCTTTTTCTTTTGCCTACCAACCAATGAAGTTCTTGAAGTAAAAATGCACTAGGAAAATAAATAATTTTTCGATTTCGTTGTTGAGTCGACGGAGTTCTGGTTATAACTGAAGGGAATTGTCAACTGACTGCTGAATGTGGGCATGACAAAAATATCACTGCTTACTTATTTTAAAAAAAATTGATTTTGGTGAAAACCATAAAAAACAGTGAGCCTGTGGTTTTTGTAAAAATATGATTTTCTCACTTTTTCTTTTTGCTATAAGTTATAACAAAAACCCAATTTTTTCAAAAAAGCTTCCCCGAAAATTATGATGTTTTCTTGACCAACTGCTGACCAAATTCTTCTGGGGCTGCCAAACTAATTTATTCATGGCCCTGGCGAGACGAGGCTTATCGCTTATCAAGGGAACTGCCTTTGCGGCCCCCGCTTTTCGTTGGCCAAATATTTGCCCAGTTGCCCGGTTGGCCAAACAAAGGGACCGCCGAGGACAAAGGAACGCGCTTCGTTTCGACATTCTACGTATACGTAATAAATAAATAAAATCCCATTGGAAGCTGGAATTAGAAGGAGAACAATTGGGAGGGGGTGGCGAAAAGGCATCGCCAAATTGTTAAATGCCAGTCCGAAAACCCAAATGGAAATGGTAAATTGGAAATTGGAATCGCAGTTTGCCGCTAATGAAATGCGATAAAGTGAACCGAAATCGAACCGAAATAATGCCCAGCATTCAAAGCCAAAAACGGGGCGATGGCCAGCGATCTATTTCGAACATTTGAACATTTTGAGCGAATTGTGCGGAAATTAGTAAAACTTTTGGGTGGCGAAATTTTTGAGGGGGTGGGAAAATCAGGGGGAAAGGCCGACTTTCCCTGGCTAATTTCCAGTGGCAGCTCGAAATGTAAATCAAAACTGCAGCTCCAAGTGGCACACTAATTAGATTAACTTGGAGCAGCAACAAAAAACCAACGCAACGCACACACAGTGACTCACAAAAAGCTGTTGACAATTTCGGAATTTGTTTTTGCAGCCCGATAGGAGAGTACGTGCACTAAAAACAAATTAAATGTAGTGCCAAAACAACAATAAATATTTAAATAAACACAGAAATAATAACAAAAAATTACATTTTTAAAAAAATTGCAAAAATATAATAAATCAAGAAAAGGAATAAAAATAACAAAATAATAACATTAAATGAAATATAAAAGAGCTGCAAAAACAATCATTTTTTTTTGGTTTTCTTATAAAAAATGTAAATAAATTTATAATAGCTAAAAAAATAAATAAACAATACAAAAATAATAACAATAAATCAAATTTTAAAATGCTGCAAAAATATTTAATTTCTTTTGCTTTCTTATAGAAAAAATAAGACATTTAAATGGATATATAATTATATAGATATATATTTTTCAATTTAGAAATAAAATACACACTTATTTTTGTGCTGTGCAGTAAAAGCATAGATATATTCGGTTTATATATATTTTTGACTTGGCGCCAGCGAAATATGCTCGGGTTTCTTGCCCGTGTCTCCGTTGCTGCCATGTCTTGCTTAATTATTTCCTTGGCTAGAGCAAACAATCAACATAATTTCTGACACGCCTCCCACGCCCCCCGGCCGTTCGGGCCTCCCCCCTTTCCATTTTCCAGCTCCTTTTCATTTGCGCCTTGTCTGCGACATAATGAAAAATGTGGAAAGTTGCAAGTTGGCGACACGAAAAGCGGAAAAGGAGGCCCCTCATTAGCTGCATTTGAAGAGCCCATCTCCTCCGAGATTCGATGGCATTTAATAGCCTGGCTATTTTCCATTTTTACCCCCCCCAAATAACCGAAATTTTCCCAAAAACACAAACAAAACAAACACAAAGGGAAAGGAAAAGGAAAACAGGTGGAAACCGGGTCCGAGGTCCGAGGTTGGGTTAACAAAACTGGCTTTTCCAACACTTTCCCTTGTTTGCATTTAAATTTCGTTTTCAATATTACCGAAAGCTGCATAAATTATCTTCACAACCTCAGCTGTTTTTCCGACTTTTCTCGTATGTGTGCGGCCGTGTGTGTGTGTGTTTTCCCAACTATAACTATCGATCTCACTTAAGCCTCCTGGGTCCTGACTCTCCGTCTGTCTAAATGTCCGTCCGTCTGGCCCATATGCAAACGGGCAATAAAATTTAAATATTTTGCATATAAATCAAATCGATGAAAATTTTCGGGACAAAGCAAAGGTGCCATATGTGTGTGTGTGACGCAGAAGGAAAGTTGTGGGTGGGGGTTTGGATTTTCCAATGCAGCTGGACATGTGGAGAGCCCAGTGCTGTCGACCATAAATAAGAAAAGGTGCTTAAACGAGCCGTTTTAAATTTAAATTTGAATATTTATTATCCCAAACGTTTAAACAAATTTGTTGAATATTTTCCAGATTTTAAAATACTGGTAATAGAAAAAATTTATTGTAACGAAGACTGTTAAATTGTTGAAAGCAACTTGAAAAACTTGGAAATATTGTAATATAATTATTTAGTGATAAAAAAATGTACTCTTATTTTTCAACATAAATTTGTTTACTTTGGGAAAAACAATAGAAGACAAAAAACAAAATAAGGAGAAACTTAAAAAACGTAGATATATTCTAATAAAAATAAATTATTAAAGGAATAAATAATTATTTAACTTGTTTATAGTAGTATTCATTATAGATGAAATTATGTTAAAATTTTACAAAATTTCAATAAGAAATCGCCAATATTTTACAAGGTTTTCCCAAGTAATAACTTAAATATATCTTTTAATATTTGGCTAGAAACAGAGCCAATTGAGCAACGTTGGGTGTGGGTGGTATTTTTGGCCAAGGGTCGCCGGCTGAGTTTTGCCGAGTGCTTTGTGGTTGTGTGTGTGCCCACACTTCTTCCTTGTGGATGTGAATGTAAATGTAAATGCGGATGCAAATGCCCCGACACACAAATTGCGAGGAGTCGCGTCGAGTCCTCCATTATAGTCGCCCTCCTAACTGGGCGATCACGTAGCCATAAGCATAAGCGTGCATATAGCTTCCAATCTGTCGGTTCTGTCCGATCATACGAAATGGTCGCACACATTGCCCCCGGCATATAGCATATCCCATATCCCCCATCGCATATCCTCGAAATGTCCTGCGACTACGTTCGGTAATCAAGCGTGACGTCTCAATTTTGTACTGGATTATTTGCTTACATCAGCACGTATTGATTGATTGATTGATGGGGGCAGTATTTTATTTTCAACGAATTAAGTGGGGGCCCTGGAAGCACTGAAGGAGTAGGAAAGGAAGGAAACTCACTTCTTTGAAGGCTTAAAGCTCTGCTGAGGTAGTGAATAAATTTACAAAATTTAACACAGCCTAAAATGGGAAGATATTTTATATTGGGTCTTTTTTTATTTAAAGTGTGAAATCACTTATAAATCATAGCATATGTGTCTAAAAGTATGAAACAGTATATTTTGACCCAAATGTCAAATGAATTCGTACAGGAAGAAGATTATACATTCAGGTTTTTGAGGCAAATTGTAATGGAGGCTGCCAGATAATGAAGATCTCTGTCCTGTTATGAGACCCCTTGGACTGAAAGCCCACACACAGACATATGGCAAAGCAAAAGGATAATGGATAATGGTCATTTGGATGCGCATATGTCCTGGCCGCCGAGTCCACCTTCATTTGCATCATTTGGCGGCTCCTAATGCAACGAAGAGTCCTTTGGAAAAGATGGAGAGAAAGAGAGGATGTGGCATGCAACATTTCGTTTACGTCGAGTGCACTTTCGGTCACATTTATTACACAATTCCAATAAATAACATTTCGCAGGGCTTCCTGCCGGCTGGCTGCTGCTGCTGTTGCTCCTTTCTGGCCAACTCCTTCCAGACAGCCAAGTACACACATACACGTACACTCGTAGAACTCGCAGGACTCACACAGACACGGACACCGCACGTCGGCAACGATTTTCTTTATGGTATTTACAACGACATCGTCAGCTCGTCATCGTTTTGCCGCTGGCCCAACCAAAGGAAGGAAAATCGGGGAAAATCCTGGGGGGTGCCAAAAGGGGGGTGGAGACATGGAGAGTATTTTATTTACGAGTATTTCCCAACTGCAACACAAATAAAAGGAAGTCAACCCAAAGGAAGCGAAGCTGTTTATACCCTAATTAAGGGATTATTTAAATTAAAAATCATTTTTTGTATTATATTATATTTAAATTGTTACAAAAAAGGCAAGTCTCAATATTACATTTTTTTTTAAACAAATACTACTAGTTAACATGTTGAAAAAAATAACAAAATACTTTGTATTGCCAATTTAAAATGAAACGAATAAAATATATTTCCTTAATAATAACATATATTTAATACAAACAAATAGAACAATTAAGGCTAAACTATTGCCTATTTAAAATGATAAGAATAAAATACATTTTTCTTATTAATAAACAATTTTTATTAAAATGTATTTCAACATTTTAAAAATTAAATCAAAAAAGCAGAGATTAGTCAACTAAAAATCGAAACACAGAAGAGCCTTCAAAAGGGTACAAGCAAACGAGAATCGGAAGATGAGAGCCTGCAGTCAGAGGCTCCTGCAGGATGCTTAACTGCTCACTTTTGCCGTGTATGTTTCTGCAATAAATTTGTGTGCTTTATTGATATTTTATATGATTTTATTTTATGCTTATTCCATTCGGTTGTGGGAGGGGGAGTACGAGCCCCCTTCACCGCATCTCGGCTGCCACTGCACTTGAAGTGCTGTAAATTTGCCATTTAATTGACAGCCGAATCATAATTGCATTGTTCTGCCTTGTTCGGCCGGCATTAAATTCGACTTTGTTGCCGCAGTTTGAATTTAAATGCTGAAATTCAGAAATTCAGCCAGCTTCGACTGCTGCAGTCTGCCTTCTGCCGTCTGCACTGCAT